AGCCAGGTTGGTCGCCAAGGGATACACACAACAAGAGGGTGTAGATTACCATGAGGCTTTTTCCCTGGTTGCTAAGATGGTAACAATTCGGTGTCTCATTAGTATTGTTGCAATTCAAGGCCTTTATTTACATCAATTTGATGTGAACAATGCTTTCTTACATGGAGACCTTCGAGAGGAAATATATATGCGAAAACCACCAGGGTATACCAAGGGAGGACTTAATTAGGTTTGTAAGCTACTAAAGAGCCCGTACAGGCTTAAACAAGCCTCTAGACAGTGGTATGCAAAGTTTTCTTCCTGTCTTTTACACTTTAGTTAGTTTTGAGCAATCCAAAGCGGACTACAGTTTATTTACTAAAAGTGATAAAGATTCCTTCACTGCTTTGCTTGTTTATGTTGACGATATCTTAGTTGCAAGCAATATGTTGGATTCAATTGCTGCCATAAAACAATTGTTGAATGCACAGTTGAAGATAAAAGACCTTGGGACGTTAAGGTATTTTCTTGGGATAGAGGTAACACGATCAACAGAAGGAATTCATCTTTGCCAGTTAAAGTATGCTCCGGACATCCTTTCAGATTCAGGCACTTTGGTTTCTAAACCTATGAAAATTCCCATGGATCAAAATGTGAAACTCAGCAAAAGAGGATGAGACCCTTACCTGATCCTAGCTCTTATCGCAGATTGATTGGAAGGCTAATGTATTTAACAATAACAAGACCTGATATTAGATACACTGTGCAGGCTCTCAGCCAATTCATGAATTATCCTACAACAGCTCATTTGGCAGCAGCATAAAAAGTTCTAAGTTACATTAAGTTAGCTCCAGGTCAAGGCATTTTCTTATCAGTTTCTTCTTCCCTACAACTCCAAGCCTGCTATGATTCTGACTGGGCTTCTTGCCCAGATTCCAGAAGATCCTTCACAGGGTATTGCATCTTCATAGGACGATCCTTAATTTCTTGGAAATCCAAGAAGTAGACTGTTGTTTCTCGATCTTCAGTCGAGGCTGAGTACAGGGCTATGGCTGCTACTTGCTCCAAACTTACATGGCTTCGCTATTTACTTCATGACCTACAAATATCGCACCCTAAGCATGCGCTACTTTTCTGTGATAACCAGACAACCCTCCACATAGCTACCAATCCTGTTTTACTAAACATATAGAGATTGATTTCCATTTAATTCGAGATAAGATCTTGGAAGGCAGTGTTCAGACTTCTTATGTCTCCACTCATTTACAATTGGCAGACCTCCTTTCCAAGGCTCTGCCCTCTTTTGTCATCCGTTCTCACTTGTCCAAGATGAGAATAGTCAATTTCTATTCTCCATCTTGCATGGGATATTAGAATCTGTTAATGCTGATGCCCAAACAAGTTGCTGAAGCAGGAATATTCTAGAGAGAGCATCAATCTGTTAGAATATTTTTTATTTTGTGCTGAGCTGTAAATTAATTCTATTAATTTGAGTTAGTGGATAGGGAAGATTCTTGTGATTCCGTTTGTGTATATATAGTCCTTTTCCATTTGTAATTGGAACAACTTTCACGAGAATTCATTTGAGTGAAGAAAAGTTTCCTTCTCTCCATGGCCCGATTCACATATTTCTTCTCATTTACATTTCTTTTGATTTCTTACAGATGTTCTATGAGGGAAAAAAAATTACTAGAAAGGTTAATCTTATAGGAAAACTTAAGTCCATGTTTGATATTAATTAAAATCTATAATTTTATCTAAGTAAAAATTAGTAATTCATTTCAACCATATATCTTATGGATTTCACAACTTTTCAACCACACATTTCATTAACTTCTATCAAAATCTACAAAAAAAAACTGATTTTAATTCTCACCAAACAGGATCTAAATCTTGTGTTTGCCCTGTGTCTGATTTTTGAATTTAAGATATTCAATTTAAATGCAAGTTTCATGTCAAAATTTTCCATGTATGCATGGCTTTAAGACTATTAATAATATGCAAATTTTGCCCAAGAATTAATCAAAACAAGTAGACGGGCTAAATAGACCACATCAGGACGAAACATTTGAAGAGAGGACCAAGATAACGGCCCAAACTTAGCCCATGACTAATTTTTGCTGAGCTATACTTAGTAATTATATTCACATCACATATTTTCTCAAACGCACAGCATTTTAATTGAATTATGATTTTCAATTTTTGCTTATTTTTGCCCTTATGTCCCTTACATTTTGTCATTGTATTCTTATTCTCAAGCTTCGTAAATTAGCATGTCTCATACCTAATGATCATTTCCTTCCCAAAAAAAAAAAAAAAAATTCACTAGGCTGACGTAAAAAGACTTGTTTGTCCATCATATCCTTCAATAAGAAAAAATAACAATACATACAGAAAAATTCAGTAAAATATATATTATCCCCATTCAAAGCATGCCAATGGATATATTCTAATCGTTATTTTAATGATAATAACGATAAAATAAAAATAGGAACATAAGTGGGAAAATACGAAAAAGTTGAAATCCTTCGTTATGATTAAAATGTGGTTCATTTAACCACTGTGTAAATATAATTATTAATGATCTTGTAATCTCTTTTTTATTTGATTTTAAAATTTTAATGGTTTAACAATAACTCTCGTAATCTCCTTTCGAATTCATATAATCCATTAATGATTATATTACCAAATATATAAATGCATTGTGTAGCACAAGTGCAAGTTCTTCTAAATTTAATTTAGGAATCGTTCAAGGAATTTAAGGAAAACATTACATATATTTCTCTCAAATTTTCGTAAAATATTCAGTCAACTTAAACCTCTGTTTTCTCTTTTTAATTTGTTCTTCAACTTCTTCTCCAATGGCAGACGAGCCTACTCATCCGATATGTATATAGTTTTCTGTATTTTCTATGATATAAACCATCATTGATCGTCTCATTTATTGCAGAAAATTGTAGTGAAAGTGAATCTCAATTGATGTAAAGCATCTCCGAAGAAATTGGAGAAAGCATTGTTGAAACTCACAGGTAATTAATAATTCCACGCACACGCACACGATACAAGAGAATTGCAAAATCAAGTACATTTTGGTCAAGGATATGTGCTTATTTTTTTGAATTAATCCCTATATACATGGGATTAATTCACACGAACACCAGATTTTGATTAAAAAAATGATTTTTTTAGGAAACATTTTTTTTTCGTTTTTTTAAACTTTTTGGCAGTGGAAACAAATTTTATAACCAATTGTGGAAAAAATTATCACTTTAATGGACAATTTTCATGTAAAACAAAGCCAAACGAATAGAAAATTTTAAAATTTTTCGGGTGGAAAATTATACCAATTAAATACAATTAATTAACAATTCCCTACAAAACAATTTTTAGGCAATTCCTTACAATCAAACGAACCCGTTCTAAACTAGAGACAAATTATTAAAACAAAAAGTACAATTTAAAGATGTTTACTTTGGGTTCGTAAATAAGAATTAGACTCCAAAATTGACAAATCGAGGCCATGCTTGCCAATCGGTAGTAGAATAGGAGAATATACGCAACGAATTACCACATCAAACAATAGGTAAGTTCTAAACTAAAAACATATTATCCGAACACCAAGTTCAATTTTCAATTTCGTTCGTGTAGGAGAAAAATAGACTCCACGCATTAGCCAAACAACGAAATATCAAGTAAACATAATATCTCATTATACTTATGGTCCAGGGGTGGAGCCACAAGAGTAGAGTTGTGGGGACAAATTTCACAAAAAATTAATTATTGGGGTAAAATTGAAAATTATAAGGAATTTT